GTCAAATTCTAGTCCATGAATTATTGGTTTTAAAGAATTTAACATCATAATAGGAATGGATGAGGCTTCTGGTCAAGATGGTAGAGTAGGAAAGCACTGTATGCACCAACTCCCATGAACACTTTGAAATTATAACTACAATACAGACCAATCAACTGGAAAAACAGCCTGAAAAATACGCCGGCAAATACGGTATATAAAAGCCTAATATGCAAAGTGTCCCTTGAGAATTCAACTGACCAAGAGTTCGATCGCTTGCTATGACATGCGCTGACTACCAGGGGGTGGTGCAGAAGGAAAGAAGGAAGGCCCCAGCTGGGAAGAGAGGCTCCCGCCCACAGCTGGCAGCCACTAGAGACTCTACCTGTGCACAAATTTCGTGCACTGGGCCTCTAGTTTATTATACTGTCCTTTCTGAAAAAAGTTTAAAGATCCATGTCTTAAAGAAATGAGGCTCTGGGGGCTCTTGAGAAGAAATATGTAATTTATATGTTAGAGGAAAATGAGTAATTTGTGGCCCGAGGGCAGACTTGTATAGTAGATTAAGGATGGTTGCAAATTCTTTCTCACTTGCACCATTGAGAGGGGATATTTATTTTCCCTCTTTTTGAATCTGCACTGATCCTGTTTAGCGATTACAAGGTGGCAGAAGTGATGCTGTGACAGTTCGCAACCTTAAGTCATGAGAAAATGTGGAAGCTTCCACTTTTGCACTCAGGGGAACCCTGAGCTGCCATGTAAGAAGTCTGGCTACCCAGGTAGAGAGACCACATAGAAAAGCGATATCCTGAGACCACATGAAGAAGGAGAAAAGTCCAGCATGCCAGTGTCTCAATGAAGCCTACTTGACTCTAGCCTTAGCTATCAATATGACTCCAAAGGCATGAGAACCTCAAACAAGACCAGAAGAATTACCTAATTGAGATCAGTCAACTCACAGAACTGTGAGAGAGAATAAAATGGCTATAGTTTAAAGTCAGTACATTTTGGAATAGTTTATTAGGCAGAAATACATAACTGAAACACAAACTTCTAACATCTTATTAGTAGGAAGCATGCTTCCCCGAAATCCTGGACCCTATTGTATGTCACCGATAATATAGAGGAAAGCATCTGAGAAGCTCCTGGTTAGCTATAAGAAACAGATTCTTTTTCAGAGTTGCCTTATTCATGCATAAGGTTATTGCTTACAATTATTATAATCTAATCCTGCATACTGTAAATTTGATAAACTACATACTAATGACAGGGAATGTTTCCAAGTATTGGCCTAATTAGTTTTAGAATATGCACCATTTCAATTTAAATAGAGAACAAGGTGGGCTATTGCGGGGAGAGAGGGGAGGGCACATCACCTGCAAGATAAAATGCAATTATCAACATTAGCCTAACTCTCACTAGTACTTCGATTCTAAAGTGAAAATTTAGCTAAAAATTAGTAACATTTTTTTTAAAGTGGCATTTAGGATTTAGCTACCCTGAAATTTACTAAAACCCTTCAGAGAAAACAAAAGCATACTAATCCTTATATTAGATTTGAAACAAATGTGGGAACTACAATAAATCAAACTATACCAAGCCTAGTGACTGAAATAGTTTCACATACAACAGGCAGGTACCTTACAGAACTGACATTTTTTTGCCATATACCCATGGGACTTGACTATACTTTCACTACATCTGAACATTCATTACCCTCAGAATAAATTATTATATTATGCAAACATCATATATCATAGATTACAAATTAATGTAGAAAAATAATAGTCAGATACACTTAATTCCATCCTCTGGAAAACACATACATCTTTATCTTATTAATCTCTCTAATAACTAAACATAAGAATCTTACCAGAGCTTTCCTATGTTTATAGATGAAATCTTCAGCTGACTTAGCCCATTTGGGGAGAATGACATCATTTACTAGTTCTTTGGAAACTTGTAGACGACCCAGGTTAAATTCTAAGACATATAAAATAAAAATGTATCAAGTCATTTTATATTTAAGTAAATCAAGTAGAACAAATATGAGGGAACATTTCTTAGCAAAACTGAAGGTTTTTTCCTTCTTTCATTAAAAGTGAAAGGTGAGAATCAAGTTCCCTTCTTAATCTAAATTTACGGAACAGGTAAAAATAATTCTTATCTATTAGAATGTGTTTATCAGTTAATTAAAAAGGTATATAAAAATAAAATCACTTCAAATTAGTTAATACAAGGTAAATCAGATTAATAATTGATTTTTTAAAATAATACATTTTATTGATTTTTTACAGAAAGGGAGAGGGATTGAGAGTTAGAAACATCGATGAGAGAGAAACATCGATCAGCTGCCTCCTGCAACCCCTACTGGGGATGTGCCTGCAACCAAGGTACATGCCCTTGACTGGAATCAAACCTGGGACCCTTCAGTCTACAGGCCGACGCTCTATTCACTGAGCCAAACCAGTTAAGGCAATTTTTTATTGAAGGAAACTTAGTTATGAACAAAAACTTAATCTGAACAAAAATGCAAGATTAAGTGTTCTTAAATTTAAAAATAATATAGTCACTCTAATGGTTAATTTACAAAACATAACTCCTTAGAGCTTTTTTAACTCATACATTAAACTTACTTTAAGATTTATACTTGCCTTATGGAAGAAAAATATTTATATACCAATATTCTAAGTAGATACTGACATCATAAAGATTTGCTCATATAGTTAGAACCTAAAAATGAGATTTTCTCATTTATAAAGTATGGATAGGGAACAATGTTAACACAAAAGACTTTCATAAAAGAAGCTGCCTTAAAATCAGTGTGTCTCAAAGTATAAGAGAAGTTTAATGTCATAGAATGACAGGACACACAGGGTCTATAGCTTTGTCAACCCAACCACTGTATAGCCAACCCAACCACTGTATAGCAGATAGAGACGGCCACCTGACAGCCATTCCTCATTTTGTAGCAGAACCTGGATTTTATTCAAGTTGTCCATCCCTGCCCTATAATTCATGCCTGCTGCAGGTGACTGGTATAGGGGTTGGTATATGACCCAGCTCTGAAGAATGAGGGGAAGTTATAAGAGGGTTTCTCACTCTTAAGAAATGACACAATTAACAATCTCACTTCTTTCTAAGACACCATTATGTCTGCCTATGATAGCTATAACTGCTTTGGTCATTTGTAACCATGAGAGGAACTAGCCAAGGACAAAGCCAAAACACAGAATAGCAGAGTGAAATACAGAAAGAACTTTGCTTGGATGATATTGTTAAGCCACTTGAAACTACCATACCTCAGGGTTTTTATGAGGGGAAACACTAAAATGTTCTGAATCACACAATTATGAGTTGTTTTTTACCAATATTTGTTTTACTAATGTAATGCTAATATAAACTAATGGTTGTTGGCATTCTAACTAATATACTTTGCTTTCTCCCAACTAGCTCATTTCAAACAAAGAGACAATGTATAGGTAGAAATGGCTCTGGTGAATGTTAGAAATTGTCAAACTAAGAAAACTTTAAATTCTGCATTCAGATTTAATCTGCTCATCCCACCTATCCCAGATACTCTGCTTTAGGAGACTCCAGTCCTATGACTGACTAAGAATTCATAGGATCAGACTCACTCAATAGATTCACTTGATTTTCTTAAAGTGACCAATTCTAATTGCCTTACTGAGAATCAGATGCCCTGCCTCCAAACACCTGTCGCAATGTGCATGACCAAGGACATGAGGCCCTGAGTATGTTCTCCCTGGCCTGACAGATAATTCCACTGTGCAAGCAAAGGGTCAAACATTAACATTGCATGCTAGGAAAAAGAAGTTGGCGATGGTTCTTTGACACTGTGAAATTTCCTGAAAGAACAACGGTAGTAACAATCTTGCTCATTTCTTTATTTGTGCTTAAACTAAATCTAAAACTACCTCATAGAAAAAATATTTGGATATTTTAAACGACTGTATTTAGCTCCGTGATTCTCTCCTTCAAAAACATACTGATTTTTCAAATATTGTGACAACTAATGCCATCATTCTTTTCAGTTTGCCTCCTGTCTTCTGCTCTAAAACAGGAATCAGAAAACCTATTAAATAAAGGGTCAAATAATAAATATCTTTGGCGGCTTTGTTATCCCTATGGCCTCTGTTGCAACTACTCAAATCTGCTCTTTTACTGTGAAAGCAGCCACAGTCTGTATATATAAATGAATTGGCTGGCTGTGTTCCAACAAAATTTTATTTATAAACACATACATTTGCCCATAGATTTGGCCTATGGGCTATAGTTTGCTGATCCCTGGTCTAAATCCTCATTTTATCTAACTCAAACATGTTTAACCAAATTGCTATATGTCTGAAATAGCATATGGTCATTTTTGCTTCTCTAATAAACACTGTACTGACAAAAATCTCTTATTAATTCAAATTTTACTCATTTATCTTACTTTTCTGTAGCCCTTCCCTGAAAGGTAAGACAAGTACCCTGGCATCAGTAAGCCCTGTCACTGAATAATACACAGGCAGAATGCATCTTAACTAATCAATAGAACATCACAAAGATATTCTGAAAAATATTTTCCAGGATCCTCCATTGGACCTAAAATATTATAGTCAAATTTTTAATCTCCTATTTCTTACGATTTTGATTTTCCAAGAACTCTGGGAAATAGAAGAATTCAGGAATCAGTTCCTTCACATCATTTGGATTGTCCATGAGAGCCTGCCAGGTAGCAGGGATGGAATGGAATTGTCGATCTGCACAATCAAACCTGCACGCGGAGAGTGAAAGAGAAAGGTCAATGCTGAATGAGAACAACAACAGGCATGAAACAAACCTTTAACCTCCCTTTAAACGTTTCCTAATGATTAGCTTCTCTTTTCTTAACATTTCTCTGTTAAGTCTAAAAACACAATTTGCTCTCCTTCTTATGACTGTCGTACTCTGTTGTCAGGAACTAAATACTACCATAGTCATCACTAGTATCATCTTAGTTAAAATAGATGAAAACCCAATCACAATGGGAAATTTTTAAAATTAGATTAAATATAAACCTAAGACACCTTAAAAATGGCACTTTTTTGTTTCAATTACTGTTTACATTCAATACAACTTTGCACCAGTTTCATGTGTACAGCTTAGTGGTCAGACAATCATATATTGAAAATGCTCCCTGTTATCCCAGCTCCTGGCTGGCACCATACATAGTCACCACAAGCATCACTGACTATATTTGCTATACTTCATGTCCCCATGTCTATTATATATCTACCCATTTGTACTTCTGAATCCCTTTGAAAAAGGCATAATTTTTGCTGAGTAAAACCTATTACAGAAAGTGAATAAATGTTATTTGGATATTTTTAAATTACAGTTTAAATATCAAAGTATTATAGTATTAATATATGTGGTTAATAGATCTATCAGAATGCTGCTGACTTAGCCCTTGATACATAAATAGCTTTACAAGCTCTTCTACTAAAAACCAGAGGGTGATTTAGGAAAACAGCTCTTATATATACTATTATCTAATATTAACATTATTTTTAAGTTCCATCATGGCTCTATGGTAGTTGAAAGAAACCCAAGTGGCCATGCTACAATTTTATTATGCTTTCTCTAATTACAAAAAGTGTAACCTCCTTCTGTTTCATCAACTTTAATATTGTTTTCCTGGATTTATTAAATAATGACTTAGTAAGTGACACTGATGACTAATTTGACTCTTTTTATGCTTAACAATCTTGGATTGAGGCTAAGCTAAACTTAGCAGAACTCTGAATTTAATTATTGTCAATGATTGGGTCATTAATAAGTCTAATGATGGTGTATCCAAACTCAAGGAGAGGTACAGTTTTAATGATAGAATCTTTTTGTTTGTGTGGGAGAGAACAGCTTTATTGAGATGTAATTAACATATAATGCACTCTTCTTAAGTAGAAAATTCAATGGTTTATGGTTTTTAGTATATTCACAGAGTTATGCGTCCACCACCACAATCAAGTTTAGAACATTTTCATCACTCCAAAAAGGAACCTGTATCTACTAGCAGTAACTCTTCAATCACCCTACATCTACCCACTAATCTACTCTGTCTCTATGAATTTGCCTATTTTAGACATCTTATATAAACCATACAAGATGTGACTTTGTGTCTGGCTTATTTCATTTAGTATACTGTTTTCATGGTTGATCCATGTCATAGTATGCATCAAGCTTTCATTCCTTTTATTCACTCATGGCCAAATAATATTCCATTTATGGATATACCACTTTTATATATTCCTTTACCAGTTGATCGACATTTGGATGTTTCCATTTTGGGCTATTATAAGTAATGTTGCTATGTACATTTGTCTACAAGTTTTTGCATAAACATATGTTTTCAATTATATTGAGATAATTAGGAGTAGAATTGCTAGGTCATATAGCAATTCTATGTTTAACCCTTTAAAGACTGTTTTCCACAGGGACCACATCATTTTACATTCCCACCAGTAGTACATAAGAGTTCCAATTTCTCAGCATGCTAAGTGACACTAGGTATTCTCTGTCTTGATTACAGCCATCCTTGTGATATCTCAATTTGGTTTTGATTTAAATTTCCCTGATGACTGATGATGTTGTGTATCTTTTCATGTTTATTGTTCATTTGCATATCTTCCTTGGAAAAATGTCTATTCAGATCATTTGTGTCCAGTAGTTAATTGGGTTGTCTTTTTATTATTGTGTTGTATGGGTTTTCTATACTAGTATATTCTAGTTACAAGTTCCTTATCAGATATACAGTTTGCAAATATTTTCTCCCACTAAATGGCCTATCTTTTCACTTTCTTAATGGTGTCCTTTGAAGCAAAAACAGAATCTATTTTCGAAGCTTTGTAAAAAATCATTTATTCATAAAATTAAAAGCTGAAAAAAAAACACAGTTTACTGGAGGGGAAATTACTTGCTTATCATTATAAATGTAACATTTGGAGGTTTGTAGTGATCTTGAGAACAGAGTTCTCATCCTAAAAACTAAGGCTTAATGTACTAAAATTGGAAATAAGGGACCAGGGTTAATTTTGAGAAATAAAAGTTACCTGTAAAGACAGTAGAATAAGCAATCGTTACATAGCTCTTAATTGGGTAGGAAAGGCCAATGGTAATGTTAAAGAATATGGCAACATGGAATCAGGAGAGATGTGAATCAGGAGAGAACTAACTGGGGGATACACTGAGGAACTGAAGACTCATGAAGAAGTTCGTTTCTTCAGGATCATTAGGAAAATGTGTAACATAGATACATTTTAAAACTAACGGGTAATATAAGACAATGGCATACAGACCCGTTTGAGCTGCTACTGATAATGTAGGAGCTTTTAGTCCTCCTTCTTTTTATTTCTCTTGATTAATTAATAATTTTAGGAGGACTATGTGGGCATTGGTTAGGTTTTAATCTCTGGTAGATGATTCGGATCTAGCTCTAAATCAGTTCTAACTCTAAATCTTTAGTAAATCTATGGTAAGAATCACAAAGGTACACTGGGTAAGAGTAAAAAAAAAAGAAATTCTCCTTAAAAGTCATTTGTGTAAGTCACCTGGAGCTACCCATTCTCAAACTACTTTGGCTACTTATCTAGAAGCTACATGAATCAAAACCTAATAGAGGAGAATAAAAAAGACATGGCCCTATTATACAGTACGTGACAGGAAGGCAAAGAGCTTTTAACAATAACGTGTAGTCTTAAGGCAATAGTATATTTACCCAAAACATACCTTCCACTTTGAAGCTGGATGTGGAGGGTAGTGAATGGTTCTGTACGAATAAGATAGTGCATAACCCCGGCAGAATTTGAATAGTGAGTACCATAATGAAATTTATCAATAGTTCCCATAGGATCCTCAAAATTTTCATATCTAAAAAAAAAAAGAAACTAAAGTTTTGTGGCCACAACAATAAAATTCAATTAGGACATAAGGCTGTATTGCATTATTGAAAACAGTTTTTAAGAAATTCTTATTAATGTTCCATGATGTATGTACTCATATAATCACACCATTTAATAAACAGAAAAAAAGTTTATTCAGTAATACTTTTTTCTGAACAATGAAATATCACTAATACTGGATTCTGGAACAGTTCTGTATTATGCAATAATACATGTTCACTGTAGATAAATGAGAAAACACAGAGATCAAAAAAACCCCAAGCTTAAAATCAGCTATTATATGAACATTTTTGTGAGTATCAGTCAATCCTTAATGTATAAGTTAATACACAACTATACTTTAACATAAAAGTCCTATACATAATATATTGTTTATAACTTATCATTTAAGTTTTCTATTAACATCTTTCCAAATGACTAAAAAGTCTATCTTTTATAGGTACGTGGTATTTATAACAGGTACATGTATGGAAATATGATAATTTATAACTATTTCTTACTTTTAGATATTTAGGTTGTTTGTTTGTTTTTTTTGCTATTGTAAGCAATATGATAATTAGACATTTTATTGTGGCCAATAGAAGAAACATATGGAGAATCAATCAAGAATTATAAAAATGAATGCCTAAAAGTCTAAAAGAAAAAAATGAAGGAAATAGTGGACGGTAGGAAGGCCTCAACCAGATCATTATAGAAGTACATATAGTGATTCTGCAAGCACTATCACTGATACTTATAGGTGTAATTGTTTTGAATAGTTTGAATGGTGATATCTGAATCAGTGGGTATAAAATTTAAATATGAGTGAACAGTTTTTTTGAAGCAACAGACACAAATTTTTCAACCAAAGTACTAATAAGTTCCTCAAGCTGAAGCCAACTTCTTTTATATTGAAATCATTATTATACAGGGGAATAAAAAAAAAGTTTTCAGGTCAAAGTCATTTGTAACTATGCAAAAAAATATACTATTGAAATTTAAAATAACTTGTACCTTCAATTATCAATAAGTTATTTATATGCTAAGTATTTCCTGTGGCATAGTGTTAAAAAATAAACCTTGTATTTTATTATTGTCAGAAAAAAATGTTTGACTAATAGCAGTAAGGTAATACATACACTGCCAAATTCCACTAGTAAATCAAATCAAATATTAAACACTACAAAAAGTCTTAAGATTTGCAAATAAAAAGAATAAAGAAAGAAATCTGTACTCAAATAAATCTACAAGTAAGTTTGTTGGCAAAACAGTTCTGTCCTTATTATTAGAAGTCATAACTGACAAGTCATCCACAAGTTCACATGGAGAAAAAGGGAATGAAAATAATTACTTTTACTTGTCTGCAGGTGGCTTTGAAAAAAAAAACCTGAGACATTTATAGGGTAGATCATCTACATAATCTATATAAACAAAAGCCTAAGCGACCCTTACGGCAGAATGACCGCTTGCTATGATGTGCACTGACCACCAGGGGCAGATGCTCAATGCAGGCTTCCCCCTGGTGGTCAGTGCACTCCCACGGGGGAGCAGCCGCTCAGCCAGAAGCTGGGCTCATGGCTGGCAAGCACAGTGGCAGTGGCAGGAGCTTCTCCGCCGCAGCACTAAGGAGCAGTGAGCCGAGCGGTAAGGAGAGAGGGATTCCGGATTGCAAGCTGGCAGTTGGACATCCCCTGAGCAGTCCTGGACTGCAAGAAAGCGAAGCCCAGGTGAGGGATCCCCCTCCCGCCACCGCAACCCGAGTGCATGAATTTTGTGCACCACGTCTCTAGTCCTATCTAGTAAAAGAGAAACATGGTAATTAGCGTATGACCGGTACTCTTCCCATTGGCTAATCAGGGCAATATGCAAATTAACTGCCAGTCAAGATGGCGGCTGGCAGCCAGGAAGCTTGAAACTAACATGAGGCATGCTTGCTTGCTTCAGTGACGGAGGACTCCAACGTTCCCCGCCTGCAGGTGCTGGCCTCTGAGCTGCAACTATGTTACAAATACAGAAGCTAAACAAAACCCCAGAAACCTGCTTTAGTCGCCTGGCTTCAGCCAGCAGGATCGCAACATTGTTTCAAATAGAGAAGGTAAACAAAGGCCAGAAACCTGCTTTCAGCAGAGGAGGCCTAAAAGCTGGAGCCTCAGAGCTAAAGCTGGCCCAGAATAAAATAAAAAAAAAGAAAAAAAGGAGCGGTTGGGAGCTTCAGTCATCCGCCAGCCTGAAAACAGCCCTCAGCCCCTCACCCAGACTGGCCAGGCACCCCAGTGGGGACCCCCACCCTGATCCAGGACACTCCTCAGGGCAAACCAGCTGGCCCCCACCTGTGCACCAGGCCTCTATCCTATATAGTAAAAGGGTAATATGCCTCCCAACACCAAGATTAGTGTGACAGGGGGCAGCACCCAAACCCCCTGATCCCCCTGAGGCTCTGTGTGTGACAGGGGGCAGGGCCACAACCTCCCTATCTGCCCTGCTCGGGTCGTGACAGGGGAAGGCGCCCCAACCCCGTGATCAGCCCTGCTCTGTGCCTGATGCGGGGAGCTCCCCAACCCTCTGATTGCCCTGCGGCTGTGTGTGTGACAGGCTGAGGTGCCCCAACCCCCTAATCGGCCCTGCTCTGTGTGTGACGGGGTAGAACCATAACCTCCCCATCGGCCCTGCCCTGAGTGTGACAGGGGGCGGGGCCCCAACCCCCCAATCAGCCCTACTCTGAGCGTGACCGAGGGTGGCATCGCAACCTCCCAATCCGCCCTGCTCTCTGCATGACAGGGGGCAGTGCCCCGCCTCCCCAATCAGCCCTGCTCTGAGCCCGACCAGGGGCTGCACCTAGGGATTGGGCCTGGCCTCTGCCACCCGGGAGCAGGCCTAAGCCAGCAGGTTGTTATCTCCCGAGGGGTCCCAGACTGCGAGAGGGCACAGACCGGGCTGAGGGACCCCTTCCTTCCCCCCCCGAGTGCACACATTTTTGTGCACTGGGCCTCTAGTAAATATATAAAATTATAAAATATTTTCTAACTAAAATGGCACTTTTAAAATGTCCACACATTTCACTGTTCTTCACTCACAATATTTGTGAATAACAGGTTGGCATTAATTTTATATCTACTAAAATATTACCTTAGATGGATATTTTGACATGTTAGATTAGCAAGTGAAGTCTACAATACCTGGGAAGAAAAATTTCAAGCACTTATTACCCTTCTGTACATACTTATTACAAGGTGAAAAGAAATTACAAGTAATATTAATTTAAATCTGGCAAAGGGAATTAGCTATAGTTAAGATACTTAAAGGACAACTGATACATTTTCAAGAAAACTTATTGAATTATCAGACTGACTAGCAAAAGTAGTTGTGCATTTAAATAGAGTAACACTTGGTTGGCCATAAAAATAAACACAAATTCAAACAACCCATAGGTATCTTTCAAAATGATAAAAGGCACTTACTTTTCTCGCATGACTTTGGCATTTTTATCATTAACTACCCCAATTGGTTTGGAAAGATCTCGAAATACAGCTGGGTTATTAAAGTCCAACTCTTCTGAAGTATAATCTTGTAAAATCCAGGGGAACTAAGAAACACAATTTACAATTTAGACATCCCTTCCTAGAGAAGCTACTATCCCCATATCTAACATCAAATGCTTATCTAACAGCAAAAAAGAATAGTCTTTAAAAATACTTTACCTATTGCAAATGTTTATTCATCTTTATTTCAATAACCAGAAGTATTATTTCCTATAATTCCACTGGGATATTTTCAATGAAGCAAAAGAAAAAAAGGCCTCTATATTTCAATTATTTGTTACTAGAAGCCTGGTGCATGAAATTCGTGGGGGGTGGTGGGGTCCTTCAGCCCAGCCTGCACCCTCTCCAATCTGGTACATCCCTCTCACAATCCAGGACTGCTGGCTCCCAACTGCTCGCCTGCCTGCCTGCCTGATTGCCCCTAACCGCTCCCTGCCAGCCTGATCGATGCCTAACTGCTCCCCTGCTGGCCCGATTGCCCCTAACTGCCCTCCTCTGCCAGCCTGGTCACCCCTAACTGCCCTCCCCTCCAGGCCTTATTGCCCCCAACTGCCCTCCCTTTCAGGCCTGGTCCCTTCCAACTGCCCTCCCCTGCAGCCATCTTGTGGTGGCCATCTTGTGTCCACATGGGGGCGGCCATCATGTGCTGGAGTGATGGGCAATTTGCATATTACCTCTTTAATAGATAGGATGGTTATGTAATTCTTAAAATAGTCAGTTAGAAAATTTACAGAAAGGTAAAACATTTTAAATTTTAAAATAAAAAATAACTGTCATATGCATGTATTTTGTATACTATAAAACTGAAAGGCAATTTCCATATTTATATAAAACTTACCACAGGATACTGTGCAAGGTCATTATAGGTTCGCCCTGCCATTGTATTTATTTGAATGAGGTAGTCAAAATTTGATATCTCTCTATTCACCCATTTCTAGACAGCACAAAAAAAAGACAAAATTAATCCATGTGTCTTAGAAATTAGTAACTATTACTGATTACTAACAATCTTTTTTTTCTCATCTCTATCATATTTCTGATAACAGGAATGGGGCTTCAAAAAAGGCTAAATAGATACATAAAATCAGTATTTTTTTCTCAATTCACTTCCTTTTTAAAATTGGCCTCTAGAAAAGGAACAGAAACTTCCACATAAATGTTATACTTCAATCTAAAAAGTCTTCATACAGGGGGAGAACCAAGATGGCGGCATAGGTTAACGCCGGAGTTTGCCGCCTCGAACAACCATTTCAAAAGTGAAACTAAAAGACGGAAGGGACATCACCCAGACCCACAGGAACGCTGGCTGAGTGGAAGTCCTACAACTAGGAGGAAAGAGTAACGTATGACAAAATTAATCCATGTGTCTTAGAAATTAGTAACTATTACTGATTACTAACAATCTTTTTTTTCTCATCTCTATCATATTTCTGATAACAGGAATGGGGCTTCAAAAAAGGCTAAATAGATACATAAAATCAGTATTTTTTTCTCAATTCACTTCCTTTTTAAAATTGGCCTCTAGAAAAGGAACAGAAACTTCCACATAAATGTTATACTTCAATCTAAAAAGTCTTCATACAAATTCTGTATTTCAATTAACTATTTGATTGGTTATCTTTAAATTTTAAAATTTTGTTATAAATGAAATTTTCATATGTGCATATTTTTTAAAATTACCTTAATGTACTAGAATGATCTACAAATTTTATATGAGCATTACATTAACCTCAGAAAACTGTCTTTATAGAGCAATGGTAGAAGGATTTTGCTACACACTGGATACAAAATTTTCTGAAGAAAGACAATCATATTTTTTTTCTTTTACCACCTTATTGCACCTAGCCTGCTACAATTACTCTACACAGTGTGGGTATGCTAGAGAATTTTGCTGACAGACTAACATTCAAGGTAAGTATGTAACTTATGGGAAACGGTGAGAAATTAATCTATGTATACAGATTTTATTAAAGGCCCAACTATAATTGTTTTTAACTGCCAATTTGAGAAATCAGTAATTCAATTAATAAAGTTTATTCCACAGAAAACAGAGACTGTCTTTTATTACTTAAAGCTTATTCCATAAGCAACAAAAAAGAAATGGCTGATGGCTTTTTGAACAACACTTAAGATTATGATTAAAATACAATATAGAAAATACGGTCAATAATACTGTAAAAATTATATATGGTGTCAGGTGAGTACTAGAATTATTAGGGGGATCGCTTCCTAAATTACATATTTGTTTAACTACTATGCTGTACACCTGAACCCAATATAAAATAATACTAAATACTAACTATAATTGAAAAATAAAATAAACTATTAATGCACATGTGGATAAAGGAGAGAGCCAGGGTCAGAGACCCTAATTAGGAAACTACTAACAGTTCTGGACTGCAAAAAACAATGGCCTTTCCTTGGATTTTGGCAGTACAAATTAAAGAGATGTTAGGATATAGGTGAGGGTAAAATACACAAAAGCATTAGCTTTGGCTGTCAAAAGAATGATGCTTTTTTTTTAAACCTTTTTTCCATGATGCCTTTTATATTTCCCCATTTTTTACCTCATACATGGATTACTTTTATTATTAAGGAAAAAAACATATTTTTTAAAAAGAGAAAATTAGTAAAAGAAAAAAAGAATTCATAAGATATGCTTATAAACTGAGTAATATGAGAGCTGCAAGACAGGGCACTGTATGTGTGAGGGAAACAAAGATTCAAAGATAATTCAAAAGATCAACCTGAATGAAAGAAAAGCAGTTATAATAATCAAAATAAAATAATCAGAAGAAGAAACTTTTACTTTTATGTAAAACTCTGAGATGTAAAATGAACACCATTTCCTACCTGTGTCAATCCTGATGCTTTGAATAACTCCTGTGGTGATCTAGTTCCATAACTATTTGGAGAATGAAATGACAATAGTCTGCTATATACTTTGTTTCTGACCTATTAAAAAAACAGCATTTTATAGCTTAAAAATTGATCAAGACAAACCAGGATTATTAAAGCTTTTGTAACAGCTTTATTGAGATAATTCCTATACCATAAAATTCACTATTTAAGTATTCTAGTCAGTGGGCTTATTTGTACATTGAGTTGTGCATCCATCAGCAGTATCTAACTAAGAAATATTTTCATCATCCCCAAAAGAAACTTTACTCACTAGCTATTGCTCTCCAAGACAGACTTGAACATGAAAATATTTTATTAGGAGAGACATCTGTGAGAGAGAATGGAGAGAGAGCTTAGCAAGGTGGGGACAGATGTCAGAATGTGATGTCAAGTCTGACTCCAAGATAATGGCAGAGGGAAGAAAGGATGGGGCAAGTAATATGTCAAAGTTTACACAGCTAATGGTGGAGCAGATACTTAGACCCAGGGAACCTGGCTTCAGTGGTAATCTATTAATTATTTACACTGCTTAAGAATTTACTCTTCTCCAGATGAAATACATGCCCCATTATAGTTTAGTTTGAACCCAACCTAACTGCATAAATCCAATCATGTTATTTATATTCCGTATTATTTCCCAATTGGATACTGTGAGTTATGTATTGGCTAACACTCAACATTCCATTACTTACCCATATATAAAAACTGAAAACAAGCACTCTATACGCTCAAACATAATCTCAACAAAAATTCACATACTGCCTAGCCTCCAAAGTACAAGGTGGGGCAAAAGTAGGCTTACATTTGTGAGTATGCAAAACATAGTGTTTATTCTTGTATTATTATTTATTATTTTCCACATGGACAACTGTAAACTTACTTTTGCCCAACCCTGTACATACTTTTTCATCTAACATTCTGACTTGATGAAAGAATAGATTCCAAAGTTTCAGTATAGCTCACTAACTGGAAAATTATTTCAAGCTAATACTTTGGGGCTCCCAAAAAGGTAGCATCATACATACCTCTTTTTTGAAGTTGAGAAAGTAGTTGGATTGGTCAACATGAAAAATCTCAATGGCTGACCTCCTTAAGTTGTAACGCCGCAGGTGAATCTCTCGAACTTGAGAATGAGGCCACTTGAAATCAAAGCCTACTCCTTAAAACAGAAGGAACCTTGTGACTAAGTACCATAAAAAGTTACTCATGCTATGCAGAAAATACCTCCTAGTTCCCAACAAAAGTAGCACTTAGGAAAAAGAAATTCAATTTCTATATCAAAACACCATTTGTTAATTTATTGGATATTGAAATTGTTTCTCTTAAAACTATTTTAAAATGTATAGCTATTGTACTTCCTTCCTATTAGAATACAAAATAATTCTGAATATTATATCTCAGAAACATTTTTCTCTCTTTATGTTGACATTTTAGGTTTAAATATCCTTTTATTTTTAGATAAAGGATTAGGTGAGAAGCCTACAGGAATGAGTGGACATACAAATAAAATTAATACTGTATTTTATAACTTAAGTTTATAGCAATCCCCTCAACCAAACCTTTCGAGAACACTGATAAAACAAAAGCATTTCCTTCAATACATCATTGAATATAAATTTAATCCCATATGACTCTCCAATTCTCCTTTTCATGATAGATTATAATTCCACAGTCCAATTTGATTGCTCTTTTCACATTAATGATTGATAAACTGGATACTTAATATTGACCAACAGAAATTATTCCCCCAGAACTCCTCACCATCTTCTTTTTCAATGCTGCCATCATAGAAGTAAATGTGTTGAGTAGTGATTTCTAATCTGCCAGGAATTATGTCAATTATTGTAATGAGTTCACAGTCTACTGAGAAGACCAACTTTTCTTTTTGATCCTGTTCTTTATTCTCATCACTGTAAAAACAAAAATCAATCAAAACTCACTTCACTCTAAGTAAGATATGGAGATTAGCAGTACATAGTATTATCTTGTTTCTTGTCAGGGGATACTATGATAATGATGATGCTCTAAGTTTGATTTACTCTTGGAAAGTCTCATTTCACAGTTTAAGAATCCATCATAATTAGCACTTCCAATAATAATTTATGAAACCACTAATGTTGTAATCCTTTATTCACAATATATTCTGTGGGCCAATTCATGTCTCCCAAATATAACTAAAATGACATGACCAGTATTGCTGCATGTTTAAACTGACTTCTGCCAGTAGTATTAAAGATCCACTGAATTTTGTTTTAATAGGTCATATACAATTAAAATGTAAAACATACTTTTTTGAAACTGGTAATGAGAATATTGGACAATATTTAAATAATTTAAATATGAAGCACATTTTTGTAGATAATTAAACTATTGGATATTAATTTTATAAGACATGAGATTTATATTTGAATATGATTTTTTATTTACACAAAATATATTGTTAAGAATTTATGGTGCTCGCTTCGGCAGCACATATACTAAAAAACTGGAACGATACAGAGAAGATTAGCATGGCCCCTGCGCAAGGATGACACGCAAATTCGTGAAGCGTTCCATATTTTAAAAAAAAGAAAAAAGAAAAAAAGAAAAAAAAAGAATTTATGCATTTCATATAAGTTCACAAATTTATTGACATAAATTTATTGGTCATTAGTATTTTTTTTAATGATTTTAATGTCTGTAGTATCTCCTCTTTCATTGCTGATACTGGTAATTTATGTTATTTTTCTTTGTTTCCTAACCAGTCTGGCTAAGAGGTTTATTATTTTGTTATTTGTGTTTTAATAAAAAGCTTTAGCCCTAATTGATTTGGCTCAGTGGATTGAGCATTGGCCGGTGTACCAAAGTGTCTCTTGTTGGATTCTGGTCAAGGGCATATATATACCTTGGTTGCACGCTTGATGCCCGCACTGGGTTGGGGTGCAATCCCTGGCTCAGGTTGGGGTGCGTGCGGGCGGCAACCAATCAGTAATATGTCTCTCACATTGATGTTTCTCTCTATTTCCCTCCCCCCTTCCTTTCATTATCTCTAAAAATCAATGGAAAAATATGCTCAGATGAGGATTAACAACAAACAATGACGACAACAACAAAAATATCAACTTTGGTTTTCTTTTATCTTTTTGCTTTTTCTTTTCCATGAATTTCTGCTTTTATCTTTTTTTAAAAGATTTTTTTATTGATTTCCGAGAGGAAGAGAGAGGGAGAGGGAGGGAGGGGGGAAGAGAGAGAGAGAGAGACAGACATCATTCATGATGAGAGAGAATCATTGATCGCCTGCCTTCTGCACAGCCCACACTGGGGCGAACCCACAAAAGGAGAAGGAGAGAGATAGAAACATCAACGATGAGAGAGAATCATTGATCGCCTGCCTTCTGCACAGCCCACACTGGGGATCGAACCCACGACCTGGGCATATGCCCTGACCGGGAATCAAACTATGATCTTGTTCATAGGTCAATGCTCAACCACTGAGCCACGCCGGCTGGCATCTGCTTTTATCTTTATAATTTCTTCCTTTTGCTTAAGAGTTATATTTCATGCTGTACCCTTCCATCTAAACACAGCTTTAGCTATAAACTAAAAATTGGATATTATATTTTCATTATCATTCGAATCAAATACTTTCTAATTTCAAGGTCCAGCTTCAAGTTATCCCAGTTCTAAGAAGCCTTCCTCAATAATCTCAGTTAACACTGACACACTCCTAACAGCTGATATAGCGTTAACTGTTGGACCCTGGAAGTGCATAGTATTAAAATTTCAAGCAAGTTATCTTCCACAATTTTATAATCCCATTTCTCAGAACAAAACCATTTTAAATTATTTCAAATACATATACATACATATTTACTCTGGCTGTTATTTCCTCTTCAGAAAGATCTAACTTATCTTCCTCCATATCACTAACTTTTACTTGTTTCACTACTTCCAAAAGCAATGAATCACTGGAAGGCTGTGAGGGCTGGACACCTGTTTAAAAACAAAATATCTATTAAACACAAAGTAAAAAAAATCATATTGTAGCTCTTTTGTAACTTCTATTAATTATATGATAATGTGCATTACAAGTAAAGAAGGTACTTAGCTCTCTTGATTAATTTTATGGCATCAACTCTACTGACCAATATATTAAGGCAACTTTTAAAAAATTTAAAAATTGGTACTAATTTCATCTATAACTTAGTCATTGAACACAAAAGAACACAACGGACACAATGAAACACAGGTATACACACAACTGGCCAATGACTCCTAATCTATATTTTTGAGTATTTCACAGACCTCTCTTAAAAAGGGAGAAATGCCAAGTCAGAAGGTTAGAAAAGAATGGTTTCCTAAAGAATTATAGAATCTTTAAAGCAAGCATGTCAAACTTGCAGCCTGCGAGCCACGACTTTGACATGCTTGCTTTAAATCTGCTTCCAATTACTGCAAGGCTATGCATTAAAAAAAAAAAGACATTGGCCCATCTAAGACTCTAAGTATCTAGAATTCTGTAAGAACACGTTATAAAAGAAAGGCGTAGCACTGCCAAGAATTCTAGATATATTTAATATTGGCATCAGTCTTGGTGAGCAAAACTAAGGAGAAAGGACCACTGTTTCAATGCACCACAATGGATATTAGAGATAACACATTTCACATAAATGACAGTATAATTTTATGGTTTTAAATTATGTTTTTGTTTGAAAAATTACAATCAATTTAAATAGAAAGTCATGTTAGACTTAGGCCAACGGTAACAGAATTTAATATATATAACCACTTAAATTTCAATTCTAAAACATCATCCTTCTTTCATGAGTAAACAATTAACAAAAACAGTAACGAACCCCATCAACACCCTTACTATCTTCAACAAATAAATAAATAGCCACTGGAACTCACCTAGATTATCTCTCAAAGCACTAGCTTCATCGTGGGTTTTGAAATTATAATTTGGCACCAACTTAAGTCTCATACGGGAATAATTTTCTACATTAGCTAGTTTCCAGTGAATTGGATTTTGTTTCCTATGAATATTCATAAGTAAACACATAAAGTTACAAAGACTGAAATAGAATAAGAAAGTATCAGGTACTTTACATGTGCTTAACACCATTTTATAAAAACATTCAAATTCATTAACTTATTTGATCCAAAAACAACCCTGAGAGAAAACCAATGCATACGTAACTATAGTTTATACATGAGGTATCTAAGGCAAGCTAACTTTTTTGTGTGTGTGCCTAAAATGCCATGTGGTTTATAGGTAGCAGATATAATATCTGAACATAAATCTTCATATGTATAACTTGATATGTTTTAATTCTTTCATGGTTATATGTAAGTTTTTAACTAGCTATACAAATTTATTCCAAATAAAGTTTTCAAAATAAAATAATTTTATTAAAAATAAAGTAATATAATTGCAAATGGATCAAAGACCTAAATATGAGTTAAAACTCTTAGGAAAAAAATGGGATAAATCTGCATGACCTTAGAGTTGGAAATGGTTTCTTAGCTATGACATCAAAAACACAAGCAACAAAAGAAACAGACAAATTGGAGTTTAAAATTCAAAACATTGTGCACTAAAGGCCACTATCAAGAAAGTGAAAAGATAGCCTACATATTTACAAATTATCCTATCTAATAGACAAACATGCTAAATTGACTGTACCTTCGCTACACCCCCATTGGCTAATCAGCGTGATATGAAAATTAACCACCAACAAAGATGGCGGCTAATTTGCATACTGTAGGCATGGTGGGACAGTGCAGCCGCCAGCACGAGAGCAGCCATCCAGGACCCTGTGTGTGACCCCAGAAGCCGCCTGCCTGTCGCCCGTTGGGCCGCAGGCCAGCCCCAGAAGCCGCCCAGAAGCCAGTGATCTGGAGGAGATGGGGGTCCCCTGCCCAGGCCTGACACCTCTGGCGGGGGCGTCAGGCCTGGGCAAGGGGC